CAAGGTCTATATATGAAAATCAACTGCATTTACATAAACTAGCAGCCAACAAGTGAAAATGAATTTTAAAAATACATTAAATCAACAGTATGAAATGCTTAGGATAAGTTAACAAAATATGAGCAAAGATTAGACAAGACTTCTCAACAGCAAAATTAAGACCATAAGAAAATGAAATGTTGGGGGAAGTAACTGTCAATCTACATCAACAAGAGTGAGGGGAAAAATTAAATTCGTTTCTAGAAAAAAGAATTTGGCCCTCATCAAAATGACTTATAAATGCTTCAGAAACTTAAACTTTGGAAAGTCAAGTGTACAAATAAATCCATATCAGGATAGCCATTTATTTTATTTTATTTTTAAAGATTTTATTTATTTGACAGAGAGACAGCCAGAGAGGGAACACAAGCAGGGGGAGTGGGAGAGGGAGAAGCAGGCTTCCCGCAGAGCAGGGAGCCTTATGCGCGGCTGAATCCCAGGACCCTGGGATCATGACCTGAGCCGAAGGCAGATACTTAATGACTGAGCCACCCAGGCACCCCAGGATAGCCGTTTAATAAAGTAGAAATAAAGACAACTCCACCAATCCAGTGGTAAACCGTAAAGAAGAAAAAGGCAGAGTAGATAGCATAAAAATATTTGATAGAAATAAATCATAGGAGTTATCAAAATAAATGGACTTCATTTGCTAGGTAAAAGATGACAATTCAGTTTGGACCAAAACCAAAAATCTAGTAATATGCTCATTAATGAGATACATCTAAAACATTAACATAGGAAGGCTTAAAGAAATGGAAAGAAAAATGATGTAGTAAAAATACTAATTTTAACCATATACGGGAAAATATTAACCATATATAAGTTGCCTTAGCTATATAAGAGATTAAAACAGCATTATGACGGAAAAAGAGTGACTACAACAGTGATAAAAGGAACGGTTCACTAGGAAAATGAAATCAATAAATCCAGAAATTTTGTGGAAGATGTTATATTTTTTAGCAAATGATGAAAACAATAAAAAAATTGGTAAAGCTATGAAAAATTTGAAAACGTTATACAACATTACATTCAACAATTAGAGAATTTGTTTTTTTCTAGCACACACTTAAACATTTGTAAAATTTGACAACTTACTACTCATAAAAGATTTAACAAATACCAAAGAATCAACACCATACAAATAATCTTTTGATGTATGAAAGAATAGAAGTCAATAACAAAGAATAACAACAACAGAAATCTCCACTTTGGTATGAAAAAAATGATTTTACATAACTGATAGGTCAAAAAAGAAATCACAAAGTTAAAAAATACCTGAGGGCGCCTTTGAAATCAAAGTTAAGGAGAGAGAGATATATATATATATAAAACACACTGAAGAGGTCATGCAGTAAAACTTAAGAGGCAAAAATGTATGCCTTTAAAAACTTAGGTTAATAAGGAAGACTAGGGGCACCTGGCTGGCTCAGTCAGTGGAGCATGCAATTCTTGATCTTAGAGTCAGGACTCAAGAGTTTGAGTCCTATATTGATTGGGTGGAGAGATTACTTAAAATTACAGTCTTTAAAAAAGAGGAAGGCTAGACATCAAGGAGCTAGATAGAAGTTAGAAAATGACAACATAAACCCAAAGAATGTGAACAGAAAATTATAGCAGAAATTAATAAAGTAGAAAATGAAAAAACTGAGGATCAACAAAAGCTGGACTTTTGAAAAGATTAACAAAATGGAAAAGATTAACAACTAGCAAAATAGATTCAGTACAAAAGAAAGCAGGCACAAATAGGCAATAAAAAAGTGACATAACTAGATAGTACAGAGATTTGAAAAATTGAAGAAATACTATAACATTAAATAAAACATAAATATGCAATTCCTAAGAAAAGGGTAATTTAGCTAAATAGAATCAAGAAGAATTAGGGAATTTATAATCATTTAAAAAAACCAAGACAAAAATTTGCCCATAAAACACAGGATAAAATAGTTTTAATGGCAAGTTTTACCAAACCTGAATTGGTAACAGTTTGTTCCACAGAGCAAAAAGAGAAGGTTGTCAACTAATTTTATGAGGCTAGTATGGCCCTTGCTACTAAAAATACATATGGGAAAGGATATAGGCAAATTTTACTTGTGATCATAGGTATAAAAAATCCTAAGCAAAATATTAGCAAACCAATTCCATCTATTTCTTTAAAAACAAATGTAACAAGAAAAAGTACAGGAAAAACTTTATGACATTGGATTTGGCAATGATTTCTTGGGTATAACAATCAAAAGCAAAGACAAGAGGAAAAATTGATAAACTGGACTTAATCAAAATTAACAACTTTTGTGCATCAAAGGATACTCCAACAATAAAAAGCCAACCCACATAATGGGGGAAAACATTTGCAAATCACATATCTGATAAGGGATTAATATCTAGAACGTTTAAGGAACTCCTAAGATTCAACAACAAAAACAACCCAATTCAAAAACAGGCATAGGACTTGAACAGACATTTTTCTGAAGGTATACAAATGGACAATAAGCATATGAAAAGACGCTTAACATCATTAATCATTAAGGTAATGCAAGTCAATATACCACAATGAGATGCCACTTCACACCAACAGGATAGGTATTGTGGAAAAAACCCACAAAACAAGTATTAGCAAGGATATGGAAAAATTGGAACCCCTATGCATTGCTGGTGGGAATATAAAATGGTGCAGCCACTCTAGAAAACATATGTTGGTTCATCAAAATATAGAATTACCATATAATCAACAATTCTATTTCTGGGTATATGTTTAAAAATTAAAAGCAGGAACTCGAATAGATCTTTGTATTACCATATAGACAAAAAGTGGAAACAACCCAGATGTCCACTGAGAGATAAACAAAATCTGCTATATATACCCGATGGAATACTACTCAGTATTCTAGCACTTGAATACTTGAAAAAGGAATGAAATTCTGTTAGGTGCAGACATGGATAAGTGAAATAAGCCAGACACAAAAGGACAAGTACCGTATGATTCCATTTATATGAGGTACCTGGAATAGTCAAAATCATAGAGACAGAAAGTAGAATAGTTACTAGGGGATGGGGGGGTGGGGTAAATGGGTAGTTATTGTTTAATGGGTACAGGATTTCAGTTTAGGATGATGAAAAAGTTCTGCAGATGGATAATGGTGATGGACAATATGAATGTATGTAATGCTACTGAACTATACACTTAAAAATGATCAAAATGATACTTTACTACTAAACTACAAACAAAAAAATGTGACTATACAGTACCCAGCCCATTGTTTGACAAATAAACCAACAGAAAGAAACTTCAGTGTCAAAGACAGCAGATAGATTAATCAATGAATAGTGCTGGGACAATGGGCTATTCTCATGGAAAATGAAATAAAATCAGATCCCCATTTGACAAAATACCAAACGGTTTAAAGACCCAAGTGAAAAAGAAAACTACAAATTTTAGAGGAAAACCTTTAGGGAAAAGGTGATAGAGGACATCAATATTTAAAATTCCTGAACATCAAAAAAACATAAAGTAAAAATAAAGTAGAAACAGATAGTTATAGCACATGTAAATAAAGACAAGGAATACTATCTAGGATATACAAAGAGCCCATTCTATTAAGAAAAAGGCTAGCTAAAAAGTGGGCAAAGTACACAATAAGCAATTCATAGAAGGAATGAGTGACCAATAAACACTTGAATTCTCACAAGTAATGAACTCAAATGAGATAAAATAAATAATTAAAGAGAACCAATTTCACATTCATTGCCATAGGTAATTTCAATGTCCAAAAATACCAAGTGATAGTGTGTGGGGAAACTGGAACTTACATGTTGCTGACAGGAGAGTGATACACTTCTTGTGTCAGGAAAATTGGTACAACCACTTTAGAGGGCAACTCCCCTTCTAGGTATCAACTCCATGGAAACTTATTCACATGTGTGCAAGAATGTAGAATATTCACCGCAGCACTAACTTGTAATAATGAAAAAAGTGGAAGCAAATTATCTCTAAAAAGAATAAGTCGTTTATTTATATAATAAAATACTGTACAACGATGAAAATCTACATCTGCCAACATGGATAAATCTCAAAAATAATGGGTAGTTAAAACTCGGTTGCAAAAAAATATATACAATATAACATTCATGTAAAATGTTAAAATATAAAACAATTCTTAACAGTCTATGGACAAATGCTACAGCAAGAATACAGAAATATTAAAAATGCAGTCACCCAATAGAGAGCTTTCTGTGGTGATGGAAATGTTCTTTATCTGCATTGACCCCAACATGGTAACCACTAATTAGGGAACTATCCTCAAAGTCCAAGACATAACAATTTGTGATTTTGCTGAGGTATCACTGAACAATGTACCCACACAGCTTGGTATTCAGAGCTAGTCACTTACCTAGTCCCTGAGCCTAAGCAACCATTAATTCTTTAATAAGGATCTCACATTTTATTTGAAATTTTAAATACAACAGTGGTATAAGGGATCTGCAAACAACTTAGGGTATACCCTACTATGCATGCCAAGGATTTATTTTATTCAAATATTATATAAAGAGTTTCAAAAGATCCTTGGCCTGTCCAAAAATCATTCATTCTAGTATTTTCCACTTAAGGGAAAAATAAAGGCACCAGAAGCTTATAATTAAAACATCTTAATTTGATTACTCATTTCTAAAATTTTTGCAGAAGATACATTCTGAGTAAAACTAAGTTTTAGGCAGTTTAAGAAATAGGGCTTAAGTCCAGTTATTTATATTTAAAAGAAAAAATAAACCAAATTTATTAATGGTATAAAAAAAAGCATCACATTTGAAGTACAGTTTTGAAGAAATTTCCGTGATCTAGAGTTCAGTCAAAGAATATTCCATGGCAACAGTTCAATCCTACTGTGTACTATCTTAGAGATTCTCTCTTGGAGAGATAGAAGGAAGTGTAATAGGATGAATTTAAACAGCATCCAACAAACACTTCACTGTATTTGCTTCATACTTTTTTTTTTAGAACTGCGTCTGGAATCCTTTTTCTGTTTGAAAATCGGAGAATTCAAGAAACACAAATCTGTAAAAGGGTCTCCTCTTCTCAGTTTCCTATAAGGGTAAAAAGAACTCTTAAGCATAATTATAAACATCCCAATACTAACTCACTCTTCAATATAAAGTTATTGTAAAATATGCCAGTGCTAACATTCCCACTTTTTAATCAAAATTTTTTATTTCAACAAGACTCATTCTTGAACAAAGCTCCAAACCTTACTCCCCCCACATGTATCATGAGAGGTGGGGTCCCACAAATCAAATACTTACGAAGCGAGCGTGGGTTCCTTATAGTTCATACTGACTGCACACCTGCGCTTAGGCAGAGACACTGCTGGGCTTGCTTTCTTTTTTGGAGAAAGAGAAAGTTTTCTGATTTTCACTACAGGATACAAGGGGACATTGGTGATATCCTTCAGGCTAAAATGAGGTGAGCGGTGAGTTTTAGGTAGTGCACCTATGAAAACAACTTTTACTGAATATGGTTCCAAATGAAAGAAATAAAAAAAAAAACCACAGGAACTAAAATTGTGTGCAATTACACACCTAAACATATACAAATGCAGCATTTTATAATACAGATTTTTTTTAACCCATTCATCATTTTATCATCCCAGATAACACTGAAATATTACTGTGGATGTGAAGAACTGATACAAGTTACTAAAACTTAAAATTCTTAAAAAAATTACAATTCTTTAATGATAATGTGGACATAATGAACTACTTTCAATTATGGAATTGCATTTTAGTTCCACCTTGCTCTGTAGAATCATTAAGGCCTCCATCTTTTTCAATACCAAAATTTATCAAGTGGCTTTCTATAGTCTTAAAAAGCCACTTAGGGGCACCTGGGTGTCTCAGTCGTTAAGCGTCTGCCTTCGGCTCAGGTCATGATCCCAGGGTCCTGGGATGGAGCCCCGCATGGGGCTCCCTGCTCAGCGGGAAGCCTGCTTCTCCCTCTTCCACTCCCCCTGCTTGTGTTCCCTCTCTCGCTGTCTCTCTCTCTGTCAAATAAATAAATAAAATCTTAAAAAAAAAGCCACTTAAACTCACTTTATTAAATAAATGAGAATGCTACCTCTGTGGAGACCAGCAGGAAAAGGGTTCCCTCTGGTAGAGCTAATAATGTTAAAAAAGTTACCCAATGTTTTTCCTATCATAAGCATCCAAGTTATTCTACTTTGGAGCTAGATCTGTATTGCGTGACAGGTACTCAGCACACAGAAGGACCCTGTAAGACAATCTCTTCACACACCTTTAAAAGGCAAATTGTTTTTCGTAGTCAAACTCTAACTGTAAAATGCCTATATTTAGCAACCAGGGTTATCTAGGTTTCAAATACTGTCTTTTTTTGTCCCCACATAAGTACACTGTATTATACTAATTATTCCAACTTTTAGTTTGGAAAATATGGCTAAGCAACATCCGATCAGTTGCTATAGTCTGGAACAGTACTTCTCAAAATTTATATATATATATATAATTTTGTGTGTACACACACACACACACACACACACACACACACACACACACACACACACACAAATTCCCCAGGGAACTTGTTAAAAAGATGCAGATTCTGATTCAAGGGTATGGCCTCAGATTCTGCATTTTTAAGAGGTTTCACGTAATGGTGATGCTGATGATCTGGGGATTAAACTCTGAGTGACACTATATTAGAGTATAATTTTTTTTAAACTTATTGTGTAAAATTTCAAGGATACACAAATACAGAGACAACAATAATAATGGAACCCCAGTTACCTAGCTTCAATAATTACCAACATTTTGCCAATCTTGTTTGATTTTGTAACATTATTATAGCATATTAAAAAAAACACATCTGTATACTACCACTGCCTAACTGGTTGACCTTGGAAAGTCATTTAAATTTTTTAGGTTTTAAGTTTCCTTATAAACAATACAAACATGGTGATACCTACACTTCATAGAGTTTTTTTTAAGGTTTTAATTTATTTGACAGAGCACAAGCAGGGGGAGAGAGAGAAGCAGGCTTCCCACTGAGCAGGGAGTCCGATGCGGGGCTCGATCCCAGGACTCTGAGATCATGACTTGAGCTGAAGGCAGACGCTTAACTGACTGAGCCACCCAGGTGCCCCTTCATAGAGTTTTTCTGAATATCATATGAAATAGCATGACAATGTTTTGGGAATGCTACAACCTGACCATACAAATTAGTTTAACCACACTAACTAAATTTTCCAGATGAGAATCTTTGTGGGCAGATGCAGGCTCTATCATCAACTTTTGAACCATGCCTACTTTTGATCTAATAAAAGCAAGATTTTTCTAAGCCACAGTTTTTAGATGTCTTACAAATGTCTTAGAGAAGAATACTAAGCCCATCAACTGAGGAAAAAGTTTGGTCTAGCCACCTTTCATTACCGAGAATGAATCAATTTATGATCATGGTTCCTGTCAAATTGAATATGAAGCAAAGCCATTAAAATGACAGACCACTGGATTCAAATTTGATTTCATTTTCAAGGGCCTGTTTCAGGTGAGTGTATAAAAGATATTTTAATTCAACCTAACTCCACCAAAAAGTTTTACCTTATGTTGGAAGGCTTCATTTACTAAAAGTAAAAATGCTTTCTCTGTAAAAAGTAGTATTTGTTTTTTAAAGAAGATTTAAATTAGCTTAAAGTAGGTCATAGCCATACAATTGTGATTTCCATCCCAGGTCCCCATTGTTTAATAAGACTGGAAGTTCCCCCAGAGACAGATGGCAAGTCTCTAATCTCCCCCAGAGAAACAGATGGTAAGTATAGCATATAAGCATCAGGAGTGATCATTTATTATAAACATTAAAAATGCAGGCAAATAAGTAGATCACTTACTTATAGGAGTTTTTGTAACCTTAGAATCCTCCATCTCTTTTTCATCCCTGTATTTTAGTGCTCTTTTAGGTCGAGACCTGGCGACTGGGCTCCTATCTGATTCACTGGAGAGATCTTGACTGTACTTGCAAGTGGGCAAATAGAGGTCATCAGAATCATCTCCTGAACCACTTGATTCACAGACGCTCACTTCAAATTCATTGTTGTTTTCTTCTCTGTTAGAATCATTGCTCATTTTTTGTCGGAAAGGAGTGAGATGAATACCCTCTTCCAAGTTAAAATTGTAAGCATCACTGGAAACGACAGATTCATCCAACTTTTTTTTGGAAACAGCTTTTTTGTTTTCACTTTTGCTCCCTTTATACTTTGATACAGATTTTGATTTTCTCCTTCTGTTAGTTTTTCTTTTCTCTTCTCCTTTTCTTCCTTGTGCACCTCTATGCTTATCTTCAGTTTGTTCAAATTTATATTCTAAAATGTTTTCTTTTGTTTTAGCAGGTCTTCCTGGGTCAATCAGCTTTGGTGATAAGTTAATTTGATCCTTATTCCATTGACAAACACTTTGTTCTACGTTTTCTGTTATGTGCATGTTTACTAGTGGGTCTACCCATCTTTCAGATTCAAAGGGCTGCACTGAGAAATGACTGATTTCAAAATCATCCAAGGTATTGAACTGACATAGATTGTTGAGATGTTTCTTTAAACTTCGACGGACAGATACAGTTCTAGGTAAGACATTATCAGCAGATTTATCTTCATCTGAATCCAAATCAAATCCCAGTCTATCTTGAGAAACAGGTATTTGCTCTGAGAATTTTAAAAAAAATGAGAAAAATAGTTTTATTTTATGAAAACTTCAATTTCAGCAATCTTAGAACTCAAAATTAAAAATGGAATAAATGAAAATTCATTCTGTAGTTTCTCCACATTGGCTCTAAGTAAATACAAATCTGGGGAACTTAATACTGCCATCTATTTATTTGGCAATGATCAATTGATGGCTTCTATCTGACTTGTGAAAGACTTATATAACCTTTGAAAATATTCTAACTGGGGGTTTTCTGTGTCCTGATTTAAAGGTTTCAAGAAAAACTAGTAGGCTATATGTATCTATGTGTATGGGATTCAGTGGAAAAGAACCTCATATTTTATAGTAGTACAAGTACACTTGAGAAAGTGGGAGCTAAGGTGTTCTTTGAAAATGAGTAAGATTGGGATAAATGCAAAGCCCTTCAGGTAAGAAATATAATCTGTATTTTTAGGAAAAGTGAGGATATTTGGTTCTGCTTATTCAAATGCTATCCCTTAGTTCAAGTAGAAAGGATTGATATTTGAGAACAGGGACATGTCAATTTAGAAGTGGAAAGAATGGCGTGGCTTTGGAGGTCAGCTTTGAGTTTATTTATTTTTTTTAAGATTTTATTTATTTATTTGAGAGAGAGAATGAGATAGAGAGAGAGCACGAGACGGGGGAGGGTCCGAGGGAGAAGCAGACTCCCTGCCGAGCAGGGAGCCCGATGCGGGACTCGATCCAGGGACTCCAGGATCATGACCTGAGCCGAAGGCAGTCGCTTAACCAACTGAGCCACCCAGGCGCCCTAGCTTTGAGTTTAAACACTAGCTTTTACCATTCGGGCCACTTCTTGTGAGATACTTTACTTCTTTGAGTCTATATAAAATGGGACCAACTGTACCTACAGTCCAAGGTTGATGTGAGGGTCAAGTGACAGAATGTATGTAAAATGGCTAACACAGAGCTTGGCACATAGTAGGGCTCAGTAAATTGCAGCCATTTATAGCTGATTATAGATTTGGCAAAATAAATGGAAGTATTTTAAAACTGTTATTATTCCGTGTAAAATAAACAGATTTGCTTTGAGCAGAAGAATGCCAGATGAGCAAATTTAAAAAAGTTAAAAAAATACTAGAGAAATTTGTTACTTGTTCACAAAGATCTCATCTTGCCCTTAATAGTATTTTTAGATTTTTGCTTGAATTACCTTCTATTTGGAATGATTCTCCTTGTCCTGGAAGGTGAGCTTCCTGAAGAGGAACTTGTCTAGCCAATGAAAAATAGAAATTTATTTAACAATTTTATAATAAAAACAAACTTAAGATTTTCTTAAAATTAAAATTTTCTCTTTAGTATCATTTCATAATTCTATTTTAAATCAGTGTATCTGTTCAGTTTCAAAGAAAAAAAAACATTTATGCTGATTATATGGAGACTGGTTTGTTATGACTGACATTCAACTTCCATTGGAAGAACTACCTTACCAATGAAGACATGCCATAACTCATAATTTCATTTACCTGGAGAAACAGCCAGTCGGTATTGACTCATAAAATCTATTATAGAAATGCAATTTGATTACTCAACTCTTTATCAGCCTGCTTCATCATTAGCTGAGCTATGATCTTTTTTCTTTTCTTGGTAGTTTACATTTTTATGATGCCTAACTACTGACCCCTCTAAAGTTAATCCTATTTATTTTAAAAATCTTGTCCCCCTTTGGCTCATGAAACAATTTTCTTTATGCTTTAATACCATTACTGGCTGTTTTACCCTAACTTTATTCTTTATTCCCTATAGACAATTTTTCCCTCTAGACTTTGAAAATTAAATACAGGTTTAGGTAACAGTTATGGTAACTAACAATTTCAGGAATCTTATAAAAAGTCAATTACCCCATCTTACTTTTTGACCATTACATATTTTGTCAGATCTTACAGTTCAACTATTTTCAACTATTCATGATTAAAATTAATATGGGGATAGAAAGCATCTTAGTGATTACTTTTGTGAAGAGAAGGGCATAGACTTGAAAGGGATAGGAGGAGATGGCTTATGGCAATGGTTCTAATTGGGGATAATTATATGGATACGTGGCATTGTCTGGAGACATTTTTGCTTCTCATAACTGGGGGAGGGAAGTGCCACTGACATTTAGTAGTAGAGGCCAAGGATGCTGCTAAATGTCCCACAATGCTTAGGATAGCCCTCCACAACAAAGGATGATCTGGCCTAAGATGTCAATAATGCTGAAACTAAGAAAGCCCAGCTAGAGTGACAGCAGTGCTCTCTATCACAATTGAGATTTTGGTTCCACAGGTGTATACATTAGTCAAACTCATTAAACTGTAATTAAGATCTGTGCATTTTACTATATATAATTATATCTCAATAATTCATAAGCAAAGTATACTTGATCTAACAGAAGGGGAGGAGCGTATATGGGGGTCTGACTATATTTAGGAATGAATTGGATTAGCAAGACAGGGTGATAGCTGTGTTAAACATGATGTTTTATTATATTTCATTTCTAAACCAGACTATTTGTAGTACTGGCAAAATACCGTCATTTGAATACCCAATCCTTAGAATAAAAACATATCTAAGAAAAATATAACTGAAAAAATTCAGTTATATTTAAATAACTAGCTTATTCCTAGACATCAAAAAAATAAACATAAGAAAGTTTTGGCTTGGCTAAATGTAACACTATCAACGTATCATATTTTTTCAAATACATTTTTAGTAGAGAAAACATCAGACTCCAAACACAAGAATCTATATTATGCAAATTTTCTTTCATAAATGCATCACAGAATTAAATCTTTCTTGATATTAGTAATCATAATAATGAAAATTTTTTCTTTTTTTTTATTATAATATAATATTTGTTTCAGGGGTACAGGTCTGTGATTCATCAGTCTTACACAATTCACAGCGCTCACCATAGCACATACCCTCCCCAGTGTCCATCCCTCCCACCCCCCAATAATGAAATTTGATACTAACTTCACAAATAAATCCCCAGAGTTGTTGTCACTATTGGAGTCCATTCCAGAGGGACATGTTTCCTGGTTCTGTTAATATATTAAAACAAAGAAAACGGTGGTACAATTGAAATATTCATAACAAAGCATTCATTTATTTAACAATAAAAACCTATGAGCACTCTATATGGTGTCAGGCTCTATTCTAGGAACTAGATCTATAGCAGCTTAAAAATAGATTTAAGTCCAACCCTCACAAAGCTTACATTCTAGTGTAGGGAGAGAAAAATTTAAAATGAAGGAAAAGAGATATATAAATAATTATTTCAGATATTGATAAAGTGCTATGAAGGAAATACTCAGAGTTGAAGTGACAGAGTACTTGAGGTTGGAGGGTTCTCTTAGGGTGACTTTCATCCAAAATCTAAAGAATGCAGAGGAGCCAGCCACTGAAAGAGCAGGGAAAGAAAAAGTGGTAGAAACAGCAAATACAAAAGTCATGGTGTAGGAAAAACCTTGCTGTGTTTAGAAAAGAAAGGCCATTGTAGCTGGAGTCATCTATGACCTGTCTCATAGTGAGAACAGTATGGCATTGCGCACAGAGGCCACATAATGTGGAGCTTGGGAGTCATGAGTTTGGATTTTAGTCTAAGTGTGATGGGAAGTCATGTAAATGTTAAGCAGGAAAGTAAAATGATCTAAGTTTTAAGAAGATCAGTCTGGCCACTGTGTGAAACATGGATTGAAAGGGGCCAAGAGCAGGAGTTAGGAAGTCATTGTAGTAAATCTAGCAAGACATTCATATTAGCTAGGACTTGAGTCCTATGGCTACAGAGGTAAAGCCCAGTGGAAGGTGTTAAGAGAACAAAGTGTGCTGAGATTGAATAGGGGTGGAGGTGGGGATAGTGAGGGAGAGGGAAGCCTCTTTGGTTTTGACTTGAGCAAATGGATAGGTTGTTTTATGAGATGAATAAGACTCACAGACGAGGCAGAAGTATACAATATCTTTGGGAGAGGGAAAATAAAGAGTTGTACTTTGTACAAAATGTGTTTGAGATCCTTTATAAGTATTTAAGTAGATATATCAAAAAGTAGTTGTGTGTGTGTGTTGAGCTATAAATTTGGAAGTCATCAGCAGACAGATAGTATTTAAAGCCATGGGAGGGGGATAAGATAAGATGGGTCTAGGACAATTGACATTTCAAAGTAAAGAAGAAGCGAGCAAAGGAGGCTGACATGGAACGGTCAGAAAGGTAAGACAACCAGGAGAGTATGATAGTAAGAAAGCTGAGAGATCAAAGTATGTTGTTTATTACTTCAAGGTCAAGAAGAAAGAGAAGTGGCCACTAAAAATGGGGGTTGTGGGCACCTGGCACAGTGACCATAGAACGATGGGGATAAAAGCCAGGTAAGAGTAAGTTCAAATGTAAATGGAAGCTGAGGAAGTGAAGACAGTAAGTGCACTGTTCTCTCTGCTAAAGTTCTGCTGTGAAGGGAAGCAGAGAAATGAGTAGAGGGATATGAAACCAGGAGAGGTTTCATTTATTTTCTTTTCCTCTTGAGGGAAGAGATACTAAAGCACATTTGTATGATGGCTAGAATGATTCAGCCAAGAGGGAAATACCTGTTGAAAGAGCACAAACTTTTAGGAGCAAAGTCCTAGAGATGAGAAAAAGGGAATCTGATGCACAGGGGAGGGCTCAGCCTTCCATAGGAGCAGAGGTACTTCTGCCACTGTGACAGGAGGAAAGATGAAGAACAGCATAGACACAGGCAGATTTGTAGATTTGTATCAGGAAGGTGAAAGCTCCAGACAGATTCCTTAGAGATCACTCTAATTCAGCTCAGTTGTTTTTTTGAATTTGATGCCCATATAAGATGCTGACATTACGATAGGTTAAAACTGTTCAAGAGAAACAAAACAACTAGAAATTTAATCCTGTTAAAAGTCTTCAATTTATTTTCAGTATAGCTAATGTTCTAAATTTAAGTAGTAGTATTACTGAAGGTAAATAAAGGAGAATATTTAACTACAGAATAATATATTTTTATTTTTTAGACTTTATTTTTTAAAGATTTTATTTATTTGAGAGAGAGAGAGAGCACAAGAGGGGGGAGGGTCAGAGGGAAAAGCAGACTCCCCGCTGAGCACAGAGCCCAATGCAGGACTCGATCCCACAACACTGAGATCATGACCTGAGCTGAAGGCAGACGCTTAACTGACTGAGCCACCCAGGCGTCCCCAGAATAATATAATTTAATAACAAGTTATTAAAAAGATTCATTATAAAATTTAGGGAAGAAAAGGCTATTAGAAATTACTTCGTGATTAATCCCTATAAGCTAACTATTGTCAGGCAAGAAAAACATTCTTCTTATTAAAACATTTTAAGCTTTTCCATCACTGATAAATTGACTTGATAAGCATGGAAGCAGGAGTATAGAATGATGGCTGAGAGAGAGTGACATATTTAGCAAGTATATGGCAGAAAACAAACTTTGATGTTTTAAATGCTAAGAACACTTTTGCCCAGCAACTAATAATATGTTTTAATAAATACTCAAAAATCATTGAAAAATGTCAAAAGGCCTGCAATAATAGAATTTTTCCCACTGTTTTTGTGATTATCTTATCAGGTACTCATTTTCCACTATTCTATATGTGATTCCACCAAAAACTTAGGAAAGGGAAAAGGAAGATTCAAATGTCTTTGGAGCGATTTTTTTTTTTTCCTCACTAGTTGACTAAACAAGGAAAAGAAAAAAAATTAGGAAAGATTATATTCTGAAGGAAAAAAAAACGCTTTTTAAAATAATCTAACCCTCACATGAAAGAAATTATATCAAATCTTTATAGATAATTCTCTGCTACACTGTATATGCATGTATTGCATATATATGTATGTACATTCTGTGTGTCATACACAGAAAAAAATATCTTAGGTGCAGGGAAGCAAGAACTCTTTCACTGATTCCCCCTGTCAGCAGAGGTGACTTTATTCCTTTCCTGAGTCTATATCCCCTAATCACTATGGTCTGGCTTTCTTCTCTGGTTTCCTGGCCCAAGTGCCAACACAACTGTCTTCACCAGCATAGCAAACAGATGGCCAACCAGGAAGAAAGTAAACTGTTTCTGTTAATACCCAGTTAATGTATAGTTTTCCTTATTTAACCAACTCATAGTAAAAATGACTCTTCAAAAAGCACTTAAATACCCCTCTCCCAAATTAAGGTAGTTCTTATAAAACCTTACTATATGTAACAAAACTACATAGAAAAGGTAAGATTTATACCACTGATTAAAACTTCTGAACTAGTCTGCATCAAGTACCACTTTTAGACCTTTAGCTATCTTTGATTCACTTAGCTGAACAGTCGAAGGGACCAGCAGTGCAACAGGCTAAACTAGTTCTTCTGTACCTTGTCTTGCTACCTGCTTTTAGAACCAAGTTATACAAGCTCAAGCCTCGATCACGTATGTGCTTTAAGTTTTCTTAACTGGTGAGAGATGTTTTAATCAATTCACTAATAACAGAGCTATGAGTAATTAATTTAAATAACATCATTGATCTAAATTACCAATTCATGGCTGTCACATTTTTTCCTAAGAAATTCACCATTTGTAATAAAAATACCTGAGCAGTTTCTTCTGTTTGTCGTGCAGTTAGTTTTTCTTTCAATGCATATAGCTGACATGTGAGGTAGTAACATTCTTTTCTCAGTTGGAGGATGATATCTTGGGCTTCTCTCACTTTGGATTTTTCATTTTCCAAAGCTAAAACTAACATTCTGTTCTTGTCTTGGTAGTTTTTTAGCAGTGTAGAAGTGTTGGCTAAAAGAGGATAACATTTTTTTTATTATGTATTAAATCTAAACTTAAAAAGTGATGCAAAAGGACATGAAAATCTCTTACAGATTATTTGGCATGGCGCAGTTATAAAAGACTTTCGTTTGCCAATCTCTGCCAAATTTTTATTCCTTTTCTCTTTCATCCGTTTCTTTATGTCTTCAAGACTGTCTTGAAAGGACTTTTTAAGGCACCTTTCCTTGGCCATCTTCTGCCTGGGAATTTAAAACAATAAAAAATAAGTTTTCTAAGAGATAATATCATCAAATATAAAACAAGATTGAAAACAGGTTGTTCATAGAGAATGGATTAAATAGATGTAGTAACTGTAGAGTTAGCTTAAAGAAGATGGTTAACCTAGTAATAACTTAGATTTTGCAGCTTTTAAAAATCTCATTAATATTTTGGCATAATATCAGCCTCTTCAGGTACTTTATAAGCAAGGTTAATAAGTATGCATTTCAACCCAAAGACTCTGTAATATGCCACTATTTATTCTTTTTTTATAATTTTAATTTTTTATTGTTATGTTAATCACCATACATCATTAGTTTTTGATGTAGTGTTCCATGATTCATTGTTTGTGCATAACACCCAGTGCTCCACGCAGAACGTGCCCTCTTTAATACCCATCACCAGGCTAACCCAACCCCCCACCCGCCAATATTTATTCTTTAAAAAATACTCACTGGGGGCTTACTATATACTAGGCATTATGGGAAATACTTAATATTATATTTTGATGTTATTATTATTTATGTTTCCTACAGACAATGTTTATGGCTAACATTTAGTGTTTTAGTGTTTACTAGACTTACAGCATTAGTTCAGAAGTAATCATATATGTGGGCTTTGTTTTCCAGTTCTGCTCTATATTATTAATTTATCAGTTTAGGTCACTTGATTAACTCTTTCTTCCACACTCTTTTAAGTCAATACTTAAGATATAGCACATACTCTCAAGAAAGTCAAGGTGATCTTCAGAGGTTTAATTAAACTATGTAGCACTATATACAATTTTAATAGGCTACTATAACAATTATAGAGCTAGAAAGAATAGGAACTGAGGCAGGGGAACATGCCAGTTTTCTCAAAGTTATTTTTAAAACTCAGGTCTGCTAGCTCCTAGTAAGTCATGAATATAGCAAACAACACATTAAATAATGATTGTTCTACATAGTTAAAAGTAGCAAAACAAGTGCTGATAGTGGCATATGCTACTGAGTGTATTAATACATAAAAATACTCAAATCTTTCAATGCAGCAAATCAGATTTGCTTCAATATTCTGCTACTAAGCATATCAAACTACTTTTCATGAATATCTTTTACCCTAGATTGCACTTTGCAGATCTTAAAATTGTAAAAATAATTTTTGTTTCCTACAACTACATATACACTACAAAAGATACCTCCATCTCCTCTAAGTTAGTCAAATATTTTACTGAATCTTACATTTTCTTGAGTATTTTCTCCAGGCCTTAACTTATTTTCCTCTAAACAGTGTCTGGGGGTGTTATATATAAATATTGTAAATCTCATTATTTTCTCTCTGACAGTGTAGATACAACATATACTGAGATGTTTCTAGTAGAGCAGGCACAACTATTTTTTTTTAAAGCACTAATGTTAAGTGGGTTGTATAAGACAATGTATCACAATGTAAGTTTTGAAGTTCGAACTGGAGATGTTTGAGAGCCATACAGATTAAGTAACTGATCAAGTTAGTTTAGCAAAGCCTTACCTAAAAAACTTTGTTATTACCCTTAACCAACTTAAAATCACAAAAGAAATCTGCCGTATCAGAAGTTCCCTGTCTAGGCCGATGGTATTAACAGGGGGTGTGGTGGGGGGAGCGAATGAAAACAGGTCAGTGTGGGATGAGAGTCCGTGTGTATTCAGGTAAAGGGTCTGGATTCAGACGAACCTGGAATATTTGATCTCCGTCATAATTCTTTCATCATTCCTGCTGCTGAAGCAGCGAGGTAGGACACTGATGAGTGCTAGCTTCTCCAGGATAACCGAAGAAGCAAAACAAGGTCAACGGTATCGCGCGGCACAAAGAACAGCTGCCAGTTTGTGTGCCCTTACATTAAGCCTGGCTTTTAACTACTGTAAATGCTTTTACACATCACTTAATCCACAAAATTCTGCAAGGCAGGAGGTTAGGGTACCCCAGTAGTTAAGAGGAAATTGGAGCGTCGGAAAGCGCAAGTCGGGTGGATGAACACAGAAAGGCACCGGATCAATCCCACTCCACAGCCTGAGCTTTTGGACACCGAACTTGGAACGACAGAGAGACCCCTGAAAATAGAGGAACAGGGATCACAACACCCCTGTTCCACACCTGAAAAACCTGTGGAGTCCTCTTTCTCGGGAGGGCTCAGGTAAAGTCCGGGGGGGGGGGTTGCCGGAAGAAGGCCCGGAAACCCTACTCCCACAGGTACGTCCAAAACAGTACCTTGGCCACCACTTCTGCCGCAGCTGTCGCCCTCCTCCTTACATTCCAAGGTTCCGCGAGGCGGTCCGGCCGGCGTATCCCGCGCTTCGGTCCCTCCGCGTCTAAGTTCTGTCTACTGTCGCCCGCCGGCTAACACGGCCACATTCGAAATTCTCCGCCGCGCTCACCCATTGGCTGGCTGACAGGCGGTCACGTGAGGAGACGGCGCTGCGAAGGACGCAGCAGAGTCCCGCCCACTCCGAGCATTCACATCCGGAGTGTGTTTACTGCTCCCCGGTCCCGGGAGGGCGGAGTCGCTAGTCTGCACGTTGACCTGCCGGCACTTTTTTGCTCAGAGTCGTTGGCTTTTAGGGGTGGAGCCGCTGCGAGATCTTTAAGAGTGCGTATTTTAGGGCATTCAAAAGCTTCCTGTTACTTTAGTCTAGCAGTTTTCCGTCTTTGAGACTGTACTCGTGGGCTCCCTCTTGTGAGAAGACTCTCCTTGATTGTTTGCCCGCTCAAGCAGTCGACCTGCTGCACAGAGGATTCTGGTAGGGCCTTTAAAGCCAAAATAGGAAGCACATTTTAGAAGTTCCAGATATCTGAAATATTCAGCTCCAGGTTCTTTGTCTGACTACCTCTGGCTCTTTAACCCTCGGGAAATGGCACTGGCATCCATACGGCTACTGACCCACAAGTCCGGGAAGTTTTCCTTATTGATTTTTTTATTCTCCCTCACCCTTTCCATGCCGTCAGTCACCCAGTCCTGTCAATTCTACCTTTTAAGTATTTTTTTCACGTCCAAACCCCACTATATTCCATACAGCCAAATACCTAATCTCTTTCTATGAACTGTGTACCAGTACCTACTCTGAGCGCAAACTCCACTCCCTTATGTTCTTCATAGAGTGATATTTTGACAAAGCAAATATGATTGAGTATGAAGCACTTATATGACTCCCCACTGCATTTAAGATGGAGTTCAAACTCTTAAAGATGTTTGGTCTTTAAAGAGCCCTATGGTGTCTAGTTTCACCTCTTCTGAATTTTCTTTCATTTCCTTGTAATTCATCTTGCTACTTTTGCCCACGCTGTTTTTTTTTAAGATTTTATTTATTTGAGAGAGAGAAAGACAGTGACAGAGATAGCAAGAGAGCACAAGCAGGGAGGAGAGGGAGAAGCAGGCTCCCGCCCAGCAGGGAGCCGGACATGGGACTCCATCCCAGGACCTCCAGATCATGACCCCAGCCGAAGGCAGACGCTCAACTCAGCCACCCAGGGCCCCTGCCCATGCTGTTTTGTTAAGAGCAGTCTTTCCTCCCCCTGGGGCCACTTAGTCTTATTCATGCTGCAGGTCTCATTGTAGAGGTGAGTTATCTGTCCCCCAAACCCCCTTAATAGCTTGCTTTGTACATCCTGGTGTCATGCATGCACTTTTCGTTTGGTACCCCGTGTAGCAGTGACTTGTCATTCATTGCCTATTTATTCAACTTGCATAAGGCTAGGAACTATATATGTCTGTTTATAGTTAAGTATTCAGCATCTATTGGGGCGCCTGGGTGGCTCAGATGGTTAAGCGTCTGCCTTCGGCTCAGGTCATGATCCTAGGGTCCTGGGATCGAGCCCCGCATCGGGCTCCCTGCTTGGCGGGAAGCCTGCTTCTCCCTCCCCCTCTACTGTTCCCCCTACTTGTGCTCTCTCGCTCTCTCTGTCAAATAAATAAAATCTTACAAAAAAAGTATTCAGCATCTATTTAGTAATTTGCTATTAGTAGCTATTCACTGGGACAAAAGAAGAATAAGTAAATGAAACCTAAGCAATTGTTTTGAATTTAGGCATTCGATTCATCATGAAGGTTTTTTTTTTTTAAGATAACTAACATTCACATCCTTATCCTTGTCTAGGCCTCACCTCACGCCTTCTTGGCTTGAGTGGAAGAGATTAGAATATCTGTTTTTAGCCAACAACTTGTTCTCCCAGTGTTGTGAGCCAGGTCACTTCCATTAGTTTACTACTCTGGGCAATGTGGCTTATATGTGCAGAAGCATCAAGAAGAAAGGATCAGGGCAGACATGCTATGCCGGCTTGGCGGTAGGTGCCACGGCTACTGCCTGTACTGCAGTTCAGGGTCTTGGGCCCGCCGCTTGCGCCAACCTCAACCGGCGGCATTAATCGCTCTGCTGGTGTGGGTGGTGGCGTCAGTCTCTGCAGTTGACTCGGGTGGCCGTGGCAGTGGTTAGGGGCCCTGGCCACCTTGGCACATGAGCAGGGCGCGTTGTGAGTTGCTACTCGGTGTGCACACCGCCATAGGTCTGCCCTGGTGGGCCTGCGTTGGCCTCACCATTGTGGCCCAACACTGCGTAGTCACACAGTCACGCAGTCACGTGCCTACCACACGACATCCTGGCCAAGGTGGAAAATTTGCAGCCAGAAATAAAAAAAAAAAAAACATTGCAAGGCATCTTAACCAAGAAGTTGCAGTTCGTACAAATCAGTTGTGGCGGTCCAAAAGATTTGCTAGGCTCACTTACCTAAAGAATATGCAGAGGCTTGGGGCACTTGGGTGGCTTAGTTGGTTAAGCCGAGGACTCTTGATTTTGACCATCTCAGGGTTATGAGACAGAGCCCCAGCCTCCGGCTCCATGCTGAGCGGGTTGAGCCTGCTTGGGATTCTCTCTCTCCCTCTCTCTGCCCACCCCCACCCCACCCCCATTGCACTCTCCATCTCTTAAAAAAAAAAAAGAATATGCGGAGGCTTTTTTCAGAGCTG